CCCATGCATTGGACGACGCAGCAAAGGTCAGATTACTCCTACGTAAATTAAGCATGACAGTTCACACGAAGTATGTTAACTACATCTTGCCAAAAGAATATACAGATTTCGATTTTGCAAATACAGTAAAAAATCTTACCAAAATGTTTGGGAAGAAAATATCGCGTTTTCATCAGCGATATAATTGCCTTAATGCGTCGAAATTAGATCAACACGATTTCTTAACATATGCTGGCTTGGTTAACAAACGGTGTGAAGAGTTTCAAATCTCGACAACTACTGCAGATCAATTTAAATGTTTAATGTTTATTTGTGGAATACGTTCTCCATCAAAAACTGACATTAGAACCAAGTTATTACACTTAATTGATATTAAGTCAGACTCACTTACCGTTCAAGATTTAGCCGTCGAATGTCAACGAATGGTTAATCTTAAACAGGATAATTCGATGGTGCAAAATCAAACCACAGACGTTGGGACGGTTGCTCTTGTACAATCTAAAAATTCCCATAAAAAAGGGAAGTTTAAAAATGGTCAGAAGGAGCAGGGTAAATTTAACAAAAACAAAAAAAATTTATCTGACAAAAAACCTTCGACACCTTGCTGGTTTTGCGGTAACTTACATTTCTCCAAAGACTGTACTTTTAAAACACACAAGTGTNAAAAATGTAAAGTTGTCGGTCATAGAGATGATTATTGCGCGTCCAGTAAGAAAGTTAAACCCAAGTCTGGTGATGAAAGCTCTGAAACAAGCGTCAAGACAATTCATTCAGTCAATCAGATTTTAACTGGTTCGAGTCGGAAATATATTGATATTTTAATTAATTCAAAGCCTGTAAAGCTTCAATTAGACACGGGTCCTGATCTAATTATTATTTCAAATCAAACATGGATTGATCTCGACAAACCTTCAGGAACGATCACTTCGCATGTTGCTCGAGATGCATCCAGCAATTCAATTCATTTCACTCAAGAGGTTACCTGTATAGTAACTTTTCAGGGAGTCACCAAGCAGCTTCAATGTTTTGTAACTTCAAATCCAGCTTTGAATATAATGGGGTTGGATTGGATCTCTGCATTTAATCTGTAGAATCAATCATTGAACACTTTTTGCCATTTAGTCAATGTCAATAAATCGCAAGTCGATATCACCGAATTTCAGCGCAGATTTCAGGATGTTTTTGCAAGTGGTTTGGGGCGTTGCACAAAAGCAAAGGTCAAACTTTATTTAAAACCAGATGCTAAGCCGATTTTCAAGCCGAAGCGCCCAGTCGTTTATGCAATTTTGCCGCAAGTCGATGCTGAGCTCGATCGTTTCGAGCAAAATGGAATTATATCACCCATCAAATATTCAGAGTGGGCGACACCGATTGTTGTGGTACGCAAAAAGAATGGCTTGATTCGGATTTGTGCAGATTTTTCAACGGGACTTAATGCTTCCCTGGAATCTAATCGTCATCCACTTCCTTTGCCAGATAAAATATTTTCACAGCTGTCAAATTGTAAATATTTCAGTCACTTAGATTTGGCAGACGCTTTTTTGCAGATTGAGATTGATGATGAATCAAAGAAATATCTTACAATCAATACTCATCGTGGTTTTTACGTATACAATCGTATGCCTTTTGGGNTCACTGTAGCTCCTGGAGAGTTTCAAGCCATTATGGACTCCATGATTTCTGGCTTACCAAATGTTTTTGCTTACATTGACGACTTAGTTGTTGGTGGAGAAACAATTTTGCAGCATAATCGCAATTTAACAC